AACTAACTGCTTCGTTTGAATTAATTAATATTGAAGTTTTGTTAACTTACACAACTTAATTATTCGACGATATTGTAGAATCCTATATACATATCACATGGCATCATATTTGAAAATAACATGAAACCAAAGAAAGAGAATTGGTTAAATGTGTATAGAATACTAGAAAAATATCTATCTATAAAATAAGATATTAAATTAATGATTTATTTGATAAAAATTGATTAAAACAAATACCTTTATATTTGTAAATAATATCTAGGTAATTAAATTTATTCGAATAAATCTAATTTATAAATCTATATGCGGCCGTACCAACTCGTGGTTTCTAACAATAGCGAGTCATAAATATACAAAAGAAGAAAGAGAAAGTAGCGTAGCGCACAAAAGGGCCTGTTATGTAGTAGGTACTTTCTTGTCTTTATTGCCTGCATTAAAATTATACGTTCACGTTATGTTTTTTAAACTTTAGAGTTCCGCACAAAATAGCACAAATGAACCCTAATGGTTCGACTTCGTCCGTTTGTGGCAGTCACAGAACTGTAACATCAGCAACTATTAATGCTATCGATTTGAAGTTTTTAATAGTTTTAGATAGTTTTGACCCACTCTTATTACAAAGGAAATATTATTGGGTCTAATTTAAAAAAAAAATAGTATTTTTCCACAATTCCGGGTAAAAATTTATCTCTTAGAAAAATAGAATAGTTTGGAGAAATTTTCGGGGGAAAAAATTTTCACGGAAAATTAGGTAATTTAGATTTTAATTTTAGTGCTTGTATAATTTTAACGAAAAATACAGTTTAGGAAGATATTAAAAATCGAATCTGGCAACCCTGGAAACGATGCGTACAGCGGCAGTCGGTGCATCGAACGCGGTGAGAGCGGGGTCGACGACCTCACTGCCATGTGCATACGGCTTGTTCACTTTATACCTAATCACAACCAGATATAAATCTCCAATCTAAGGCAAATGTCTTGCGACTTGACTAATCTATCAATGGACAGCAAAAACTATTTATTGGATTTAGAAACTTAAAATTTCGCTGCTAGATTGATTACACGGATATATCTAACAAGACTAAGGAAAATAGTACACTGGCAAAATATATATAATATACAGTATTTCCTTTATGAAATGGATTGACAAATTTGATGGGAAACGACAAACATTGCACATACTTAATATACACATGAAGGGCTTCACTGGATAAATATACTGTGATATCCATAGCACACTACATATGTCGCAATTCTTGATTATGCCTCTATATACCATTAAACCCAAATACAAAATACAGAAAAAAAATCTATATAAAATAACAATAAAAGACATAACAGTAAACTTTATTACTGCGGGAATTACTTAGGGATATTCATTCTTTAGGTATAATATCGTAATACTTTGCCTTTGTTTTAGCATGTAAACTGGTTTTGTATAGTGGAGACACCAATTTTTTTTTTTCGTTCTTTCTTAATAATAATTTAATAAAAAAAAACCAGTCACAATGTATAAAGCGCAATAATAACTTTAAAAGCAAAAAAATATTTGTGGCATTTCGAGGCAGGCACGGCTTCGTCATTTGAATATTCAACAATAATTTTTAATCAAGAATGTGAAACTGGAAATTTAAAGGTCAGTTAGTAGATACTAGATACAATTTTTTCTGAAGAAACTGAAAAGCTGACAGAATATTCGTCAGCCGTAATAATAAATTACAATTAAAATCTTCTAAGAATATATATATATATATATATATATATATATATATATATATATATATATATATATATATATATATATATATATATATATATATATATATATATATAAATATTAAAGAGGTTTACAAAAAAAAAAAAAAAAAGCATTTTAAAATGCTTTTTTTTATTTTTTGGATTAATCCATAACTTTTTGTGTAGTTTACGAATAATATAAAATGTAGTGTTATAAAATATGTGTATATATGTGTATTTATATATATCGTTGTTATATGAAATGATTTACTGTTACTGCTACTATATATATTAATATACTTACACAAAAAAAAGTAAAGCTCTTTTGTAAACGGTTTAAAAAGTAAGTATGTCTTTTTAAAAAACACAAATTTAAAAGGTAAAATAAAGAATTGATCGTAAGTACTTGGCCAAATACAAAAATCAATCAATTTTTACGGACTAGGAATCAAAAAAGAAACTCTATGATAAGGAAAATTTAAATTACAAGGATTTTAATATTTTATCTAACCGAAACTTATTACCTTTTAACATTATTTTGTAAAGCGAAATTAATGTTAAATATTATTATTAATTAAAATTTTAGACTCTTGTCTTTCATTAAGCGGTGACCTTATAAACGGGAACACGACATAACTCCAGCTAACTGATGCCGAATTTCATAATTCTAGGGTATGGGGTTTGTAAATAGGTCCCAGGCTACGAGCCCTTTCTAACTGTCCGGGGGCCTTTACCTCCTCCCTTCTAGTCCTTCCCCCGCCGTTAGTCATCCGTACAACAAAATTTATTAGAGAATAACATGACACATACTTGGTTCATTATTCAATAGGTATATTACATAATTACTCGGATTCTATTATATTACATCAATGAATTCTAGTTTAGAAAATTAATTTACTTCACAGAAAGCTTAAGAACAAAAATTTGCTGTTTATTCTTTGTATTCTGTTAGGTCGACCTCCACATTGTCCCCCTGAAAACTATCATAGTTAATAATAGTTGAATTCGTCACGGTGTGCCAACTAACCTATTTCATCCTCATCTATCTTCCCTCACTCGTGACCAGTGTAAACCGATAGCCCAGGCGGGGTTTCTATTCCATTGGCGATGGGGAGAAAGGGATTGTTAGTATATGTTTATAAAATGGGTGTCTAAAAGCTCTTGTTACTAGCAATATACCTTATTAAATCGAAATCCACGTGGATTCCCCAGGAAATCATCGTAGTTAATTCTTGTTGAATTTGTCACGATGGGCCTGCTTTCATCCTCACCTATCATCCTTTATTAGTGCCCTGCCAGCGTATACCAATAGCGCAGGTGGAGTTACTATACCATTCCCACGCATTAAAAAACCTGACGAATTTGTCACAATGGAAATAATTGTAGGATGTAATGGTATTGACAAACGCAACTTCTATAAATAAAATTTGGCAGCGATTGTTCGTGAACAAATCGTCATCTGCGCAGGCTTTTAAAACCCTTATGTGACCCTTCCACGAAACGGAGCTCAAAGAAAATTAAACAGTTTTATTTAACTATTAGCAATCAATAGATAGGTACCGGGGGAAAAATGTTTAGTAATGAGACACTATCAGGCCCACTGCTAGCATTATACCCTAACAAGTCGATCTCCACGCGGTTCCCCCTTGAAACAATCGAAATTAATTTTTGATGAATTCATAACGATGGACTAACTGACCTGCTTTATCCTCATGTATTATACCTCACTAGTGCCCCGCCAGCGTACACTGATAGCGCAGATGGAATTACCATTCCATATTCATCATTAAAAAAAAGATAGGTACATAAAGGATATATACATACATAAATATCTGTCACGCCTGTCTCCCATTAGGGTAGGCAGAAACAATGAAACGCCAAATGCTTCGATTCAAACAAACCTCTTTCGCTTCTTCCACATTCATCAATCTTTTCATACACGCTCGCCGGTTACGGGAGGATATAAAATAAGGGATATATAATATGCCTACATACATAGATATAAGCACCTACGTATACAATTTACATGTAAAGAAGTTGGGCAAAAGCCACGAGTGCCGCGACATTGAAATCATATTTATTCCAAAGTTTGGCTTCGCGAACCAGTGGGAATGTGGAGTGTAGCCAATAATACCTACAGCTAATTGATTAAACTAGGTAGGTATAGTTTCTACCTATCTCCATCTTTCCAGAAGGAGAGGGTTATTAGTAATAAGGATTAGCTGTCCCATTGCTAGCAATATATCCTATCAGGGCGACCTCCACACAGTCACTCCTGGAAGCCAGCGTGTCTAAATTATTACAATAGATCAATTTGCCTGATTTCATTCTCACCTACTATTCCTTATTGGTATTCCGCCAGCGTAAATGATAATAAAACGGTAACCCGCCTGGTCTATCGATATATGCTGACGGCTGCACTTGTGAGGGATGATAAGTGAGGACAAAGTTGGGTCAGTTGACCAATCGTAATTAATGAATTTTTTAATGGGTAAAGATGAAATGGTAACCCCGCCTGCGCTATAAGCTGGTGGAGTGCCAGTGAAAGGTGACAGGTGAGAATGAAGGCAGGTCCGTTGGCTATTGTGACCAAATTGAACAACAATTAACCACTATGGTTTCCAGGGGAAACCGCGTGGAGGTCGACCTAATAGGAAGTATTCCTAGAAATGGGGCTGTTAAATCTCATTACTAACAATACCTTTCCCCCTGAGAAATCCATTAGGCATCAGACGATGGCTTCCAGAGGCTATACCTATTGCTATTATTGGTATTACGAATTTCCATTACTAATAATCCTCTCTGCAAAGATATAGTAACCGTTCCATTATCAAACATTAAAATTCTTTTTTCAATTGCGTTTGTTATTTAATTCTACACTGTTAGTAGTGGGGTGGCGATCCTTTTGCTAGCAATTAATATACTCATTAGGTCGATATCCACGCCGTTCCTCCCGGAAAACATTGTGGTAATGGAAGAAGGCTGGTGAATTGTAACTGACATCGCACCATCCTCACCTATCATCACTTACTGTTACTTACAGAAGTATGAACAAATTAAACAAATTTCTGCGAATTATAGGTTAAGATAACATATCTATCTATGTATACTCCCTCCGCCCGGCTTACAGGACCGCTATCCGACTTACAGGGTCGCTATTTGTTTTATAATTGATATAAGCTAAATAAGTGTTCATTTATATGATGTATGAATTAAACTCTTAATAAATTACGTCAATTCCTTCTATAGAGTCGAAATTTTACCTGAAGTTCCTTATTCTTGTTATCTTTCAGTGAAGCTGCCCTGATAACACCAGCTTTCCAACCCCATTCGGAAACTTTATTCACGTTAATTTTCGTCACACCACTCACAGAGAGAAATCGTTTGCCAACTAAATCTTCACGGTATTTATAGGCCATAACGAACTACACAATCACATTATTCACTTTAAAAACTATCACAAACGTCAAGAAACCCAGCGGATCGAAACACTAACACGTCGCACTACCCGTTGAGCGAAGGGAAACTACGTGGAAAATACAAAAAAAAATTCATTGCGGACCGTACATTATATACGACTAGATAAAAAAGAACCTCACAATGCTTTAGTATTGTAACCACCAAAATGACTGCGTAATTTTATAGTATTATAGCTAGCAACGTTATAAACTAACAAAATGAAAAAGGTTACAAAACCCCTATTTCCGTATAGCTGATGTAGGCAACTCAAAATAATCGGATCATAAACTGGTTACAACTTCGACGTAGTCTACGTTAAAGTTCTATAAAATGTTGATAGATGGCACTGTTTAAGAATTGAATAACATTTATTCTCAAACTTTAAAGAATTAAAATATAGTATTTATATAAGACAAACAATTACTTTCCTAATTTACGTAGTTGTTACTTAATTTTTTTTCACCTATCTGAACTAAACAGTCTTTAAGAAGAAAACAGTAAATTCCAAAAATATTAAACATAACACGGATTACAAAAATAGCATAAAAGTTGTCGTATAAGACAACGACAGTAAATAAAAGTATTGTAGAAAAAACAAAACCGTCTTCTCTGAAGAGATCTCTACACTTCGAGTAGACAATACCATAAGTATTAAACACGCATTTCGTATCACATTCATTTGATCAATAAAGATTGATAAATAGTTTGTCGATCTAAATCTCTATACCATATTAAATTTTAATACAAACATAAATGTGATTTATTTGTAAATACCGTTTAGTTTCAAAGAGAAGCACAGAAATATTTACTAAGGTACTCATTAATAAATTAGGTACTTATATCAAATTGATAATGTTTGAAAAAATTTGAACCTAAAAGATTTGATTTAAATTTTTAGTCTTGTAACCACTGTATTTTGTAATGTCTAACAATAATGTTACATTAATAAAATTATCTTTATTACATAGAATGTATTATTCATTTACTTTAAAATCATCATCTGTAACTCGTTTACTATAACTCGCCTGTAAAAAAATAATGAGCAATACATTGCCACTCAACAGTATCTTCCTGCTGCTAAAAAGAACCTACCGCATTAATTTATTTTAATATCATCATCATCATCATATCAGCCTTTAACTGTCCACTGCTGAACATAAACCTCACCCTTGAAGTGTTTTGCCAATAGTTGCTACGCTTGGCAGGCGGATTGGCAACCGCAGTTAAGCTTTGGAGATGTTTGAAGAGGGACGCTGCTTCCCATCTTTCGCCCTCCCTTAGTCGCCTCTTACGACACCCACGGGAAATGAAGGGGTGGCCTATTCTATGTCGGGATCACACGGCCATTATTTTAATATTATAAATTAATGACCTACCCCGGCTTCACGCGGGTAGCCTATGATACTCACTGATAATGGAACTATAGGGAGCTATCTATAGATCTAAGATTTTTTAATCAGTTAAGATTTGTTATAGTTTATCCATTACAAAAAAAAAAAAAAAAATCTTCTTCTTTTCTTTATAATTACGTTACTTTATAATTGCAATATGATTATTCAGTCTGTTAACTTAAAAATATACCGCACTTTGCACGTATTTATTACATACTTAGATACTTCCCGAAATGAGTGAGAAACAGATGATAAAATTAATTGTAAACTAGTCTAGAAAGAAGAGATGTAGATTACTGATGGCAACGAACAAATGGCGACTTGACAAAAACAAACGCGATGGAGGGTATTTATAATTGAAGACAGAGCCTTCAAGAATCTCTCGAACGTTGCTCGAAGAGTAGATCCATGGTTTATATACCATCAATAGGTTAAAATATTAATAATTATTTTGATTCTTTTATTTTCACACCACAAAGAACTCATCAGCATCGTAAATTTTATTTACGGTATTCACGAGTTCTAATTTACTCTATTTTTGCTATTCCACAATAGATGGCGCCAAAAGTACGAAGAAAACGGTATAAAATATGAAAACGTTTTGGTCCAGCAGCCATATTGATTGGAAAGATCACGTGATCAAAACAGTTCATATCGTTGCAATATGGCGAAGTAGACTTTTGCTGATCAGTTGTGTTTTGTCATGTTTACTTTTGTGATTATTTAAAAGGATTTTTCTTATGTGATTATTAATATGATATCGGCGATAATTTCCCGATTAGTTATGTGAGTATTATATTTTTTTCTGAAATTAAAATAGGCCTTTGTGACGTTTTATCTAATTTATTTTTGTATAGCTCCTTTGTTCGAACAATGGACGGTTTTCTATTATAATTAATTAGTTAATTATTATTTCAATATTTTATCTCATATTTATCTGAGCTAATTTTATTTCTGGAAAATCGATACCTTTGGGAGCACCATAATTACTTAAATAAAAATTTGACATTTCTGGTCTATATTTTTTAAATTTTATTTTTTTCTATTTAGATAGGTATCTAAATTACCATTCATACATAATGGCTTGCTTTTTCTATTAATTAACTTAAATTGCTGTTGAGATGTATAAAAATGTATGAACCTTCAAAATTGCCTACATGCTGAGGGTTATATTTTTCTTTTTATTTAGGTATTTAATTTCTTACTTTTGGGCAACTTTTCTATTGTCATTATTATAGATTTAAAGGAAAAACAATTACTAAAACAAAAATCTCTAAGTGGGTATGCTCACTGACCAAAAGTTCACTTAAATCATAATAGATATGTGAATAATATTAAAGAAGTCAAGTCCTTATTTTTGTTGCCTCTTTTCTTAAATAGATCTTATAAGTGAGGCCATGAATTCAGAAGTTTGCTATGGAAGCATGGTTAAATTTTCATTACATATCTACCTACTACTCTTTGTTATATAAATTAATTATATAAAAATTATTACAAAAAAATAAACTGTAATAAACAGTATAAGCTACATATTAGACTATAAGTGTAATATAGGCTAGTAATAGGTACTTTAATATATTAAATACCTATTTATAGTAAATTTTTTTATCATTGTATGTAATAACACTAACAACAATACAAAGCCTCTAAATACTTCCTCTTTTTGGGTTCTTAAGGTTGACTAGAAGAAATCCTTTTAAGGGATAAATCCACATGTGTACACTGGCATAACCTAATATCTATATTATAGGTAAATGTACAAAAGCATATTAATTAAATATATAAACAATTGTAAACATATATCTAACTGCCTTACATATGTAATTCAATTTTTAAAAAAGAAGAGATTTTTAACATGTTTATATTTCTTTGTGTTTGTTGCCTTATAACTCCATCAGTTATAAACCGATTTAGAAAATTATTTTTTATCTGAAAAAAATATACTTAAATTTGTCTCATGGAAGTTTTATCAAAATCAGTTCAGTTGTTTAGTTTTTAAATCAAAATAACTGGTTTTGCCATGATTGAAATTGTTTTTTTTTTTTTGTCTGGAATGCTGCCTTGTTGTGAGTAATGGTAGCTCAGTTGAATATGCTTTATTTTAATTCTAGAAAATGTCAGTCTAAACCTCTGAATGCTTTAAATTCATGTTTGATTTTTTAAATTTATTTTCACTAGCTTCATACTTTTTCTTAAAGCACATATAAATCATTGGTTTGGTAAACTATGTCTTTTTGTTTAATGGATAATAATGGAATGGTAACCCTACTTGCTCTAACAGTATATGCTGGCAGAGCACCAGTGAAGGATGATAGATGAGAATGAAAAAAAGCAGGTCAGTTAGCCCATTGTGATGAATATACTTGGAATTCAGCATAATGGTTTCCAGGGGGGACCACAGGGAGGTCGACCTGGTTGGGTATATTGCTAGCAATAGGGTCCTTAGTCTCTATTACTAACAATCCCTTCCCCCTGGTAAACTATGTCAGAAACCTTTATTTATAATGAAGGTAAAAGGCAACAGTATAGAAACTTGATACCAAAGGTCACCACCTTTACATAAGGGAGGGGAAGGGATTGTTACTAATGGGATCTAACTGACCCATTGCCAGCAATACACCCTATCAAGTCGACCTCCACATGGTTCCCCTTGGACATCATCATGGTTAATTCTAGTGGAATACATCACAATGAGCTAACTAACCTGCTTTCATTGTCCCTTATCATCCCTCACTGGTGCCCCGCCAGCATATACCGATAGCATATGCGGGGTTACCATTCCATTATCACCCATTAAAAAAAAAGCCTCACATAAGTGGGTAATAGTATAGTCTTTAGATATAACATTCAACAGATTATTACTCATCTCTCCAATACATATATTTTTTAAAATATGCCTGTAATTGAAAATATATTAATGTGAAAAAGAATAATATTACCTGTAAACATATTGATATAATCGATAGATAGTACTCATGAAACTAAATAAACATCATAAAAAACCTTTGTACTGGTGATAATATTAATAATAAACAATAGAAATGAAAAAAAGAAAATTAATCTTAGGAGTATTTATATAACTTACCAATCCATTAATGCCCCACAGCTGGCCACAAGTCTCCCCATAAGTGGAGGATGTAGGCTATAAGACTAGCACAGTCAGTCAGATTTAATAAAACCTTAACAAAAATTATAAAATATAATGAGAATAAAAAAGGAACGGTGATATGTTGTATTCTTACTCTGAAACCAAAGATATTTTTATATATTTTATTATAATATTCTTTCTATATTTTATGATAATATCTTATTGTTATGTATGACAATATTTTGTATTTAAAATGTATTATGTATTTTATTTTATTCATATTTCTTTATTATATTGACAGAATCTCAGCTTTTACAGGAAAAATTATTATGTAAAAATGTTCCATGTGCTACAACACCATACTGACAAAATTAATTTACAAGATGTAAATAATATAAGGGTTTAACAATACAATTTAGCAGAATAGAAAACAAACAGTAAATTACAGTAAAATAGTATTATAAAACTGTGAACTGTATTGGTCGGTACCTACACTGACGTAAAGAGTGCCAACCATCACTTAAAGTTATGGCAGGTACCCTTGATATTGTTAGTATATATGTACAAGCTATGTTAGTACTCATGAT